ATGCCCATCAATGGATAGATGGATTAACAAAATGTGGCAATGGGATAGTGTTTAGCCTTTTAAAAGGATGAAGTACTGATACATGCTGTAACATGAATGAACCTTGAAAACATTATGCTAAGTGAAAGAAGCAGATAAAAGGCCACCACATTGTGTTATCCCATTTATAGGAAATGTCCAGAATTGGCAAATCCATAGAGACAGAAAGTAGACTAGAGGTTGCCAGGAGCTGCGGGAAGGGAAGAATGGAGAGTAAGTGCTAATGGGTATTGGTTTCTTTCTTTTTGTTGTGGTAAAATATCTATAACATTAAAAAACTGAAAGTAAGTATTGTTAAGGATGTGGAGGAATTAGAACCCCTATGCATTGCTGGTGGGAATGTAAAGTAGTACAACTGCTGTGGACAAGTTTGTTGGTTCCTCAATGGGTTCAACATAGAATTACCATAGTATGATCCAGCAATTCCACTTCTGGGTATATATCCCAAAGAATTGAAAGCAGGGTCTCAAGCAATACTTGTACCCCAATGTTCATAGCACCATTATTCGCAAGAGCTAAGAGAGAAACAACTCAAATGTTCATCAACAGATGAATGGATAAACAAAATATAACATATACATACAATAGGATATTATTCAGCCTTAAAAAAAAATGACATTCTAATGTATGCTACAACATGGATGAACCTTGAGAACATTATGCTAAATGGAAGAAGCCAGACACAGAAGGATGAATACCATATGATTCCACCATATGATTCTACATGATATCCAGCTAGAGTACAGTGACATCATCATAACCCACTGCAACCTCAAACTCCTGGGCTCAGGCGATCCTCCTGTCTCAGCCTCCCGAGTACCTGGGACTACAGGTGCGCACCACTACGCCTGGCTAATTTTTTTCTGGTCTTGAACTCCTGAGGTCAAGCGATCTGCCCTCCTTGGCCTCTCAGAGTGCTAGGACTATAGGCGTGAGCCATTGGCCCGGCACATGGTATCTAGAATAGACAAACTCATAGAGGCAGGAAGTTAGTTACCAGAGGCTGGGGAAGGGAAGAATTAGGAGTTACTGTTTAATGCGTACAGAGTTTCTATTTGAGATGGTGAAAAAGTTCCAGAAATGGATAGTGGTGATAGTTGCACAACATTTCGAATGCACTAATGCCACTGAATTGTATATTAAAATGGTTAAAATGGTAAATTTTATGTCTATTTTACCACAATAAAAAAATAAGCACTCTATAAGTACTTTTCTTTAGAGGTTTCTGTTAACTAGAGAAGGGGAGACTTCTAGGATGACGGGTCTGGACTCCAGGAGTCTTTATCAAAGAGGGACCCTGGGGAGGTTCCTTTTTGGGGCTTTTCTATTTAGGTCAGTAGAGGGAGGCTTTGGTGACTTCTGTCTCTCAAACAGGAGCAATTTGGCACTTGTACTGAGATTGTAAAAGACCTTGCTCCTGAGACATTTGTTCATCCCAATTCTTTGTTCTTTTCTGTAAGGTTGCAGCTATTTCTGATCTGTGCCTTTGTGAATTAGAGGTAGTTTACTGTTGTCATTAAACCAAAGAAGTTGTTTTTTTCCCCTTTGGGCCATTGGTCTTTCATAATTTTTTAGCTTGCCTCGTAGCTTAGAATCTTCTTCCTATGCTTTCATTGAGGGGATCATTTGAAAATATTGAAAATATTAGTTCTTCAGCTCCTTGTTTCTGGAGCCTGGGTAAAGTTTTCCAGTGGAAGTACCAGTTAAATGAAAAAATACTGAGTGTTACCAGATAGCTCCTCCTGGTAATGAAGGAGCCCTCGATTCCTGGCCCTGGCGCTCTGCTGTCCAGCCTGTCTCCCTTCCTGCTGGGTTAAGCCGTGCAGGGCTGTCCCCTGTGCGCCTGCCTCTGCTGTTTCTACCGCCTGGCGCACCTTTTCCATTGCTTCCAGCTAATGCGCACTGAATATTCAGTGGCCTGCTCAAGTCTCACCTTGTCCACAAAATCCTCCCTCTTCTCCCTTGAGCTCTGACTACACTTTGTGTGAGCTTGTAGAGAATTTGATGATTATAAAAAGGTAACATAAAGAAAATGTATATTACTCATAACTCGCCTCGAATCATTTCTTCAATGCCTCTTTTGTTCTCACTGCCTCTTTTTCCCCACCTTTATGTATGTATACTTAATTTTTCAACAGGATTTGGATCAATAGTATAAAAAAA